GGGGGGGGGGGGGGGGGGGGGGTTTAGGTTGAATACTCGAAGTATTGAGTATCGATGCAGGAGTTTTGTTCTAAAAAGGAATATTTTAAGGATAAAATAGTAAAAATCTTGGTCAAACTTAAAGTGCTTATAAGCTAAAAATTCATAAGCTGGGGGTGACCAGCTTATGGCTTTTAGCTTATTTCTGACTTATAAGCACTTGGCTTATAAGCACTTTTAACTTTACCAAACGCGTAGATAAGCCGAAAAGTGCTTATAAGCTAGTTTGACCAGCTTATAAGCTTAGCCAAACACCCTCAAAATCGAAAGGCTCATATCAATAAAAGTTTGATCAAATAATTCTTTTATTTAAACGCAAGAAAAAAAAGAGTTATTTTAAATAATTTCACAATTATGTTTCTTCTTACAACTTGAAAGGCGATTCCCCGTACTATCTACACCTCCAAATGCGACAAGAGTACTTACAACAACAACAACAACAACAACCCAGTGTAATCCCACAAGTGAGATCTGGGGAGTATAGTGTACGCAGACCTTACCCCTACGTAGAGAGGCTGGTTCCGATAGACCCTCAGTTCAAGAAGATGTGCGACAAGAGAACTTACAACAACAATAACCCAGTAAAATCCCAGCAGTGGGGTGTGGAGAGGTGTAAAGAGGCTGTTTCCAAAAGACCCTCGACTCAAAAAGATAAAAGTAAAGGAGTCAATATCAGTACACCATAGAAATTATAGGAAAAATAAAAATAACATGACATAAATAGCTTGAGTCCCCGCTCTTCCTGATGATCGGGAATTTTTTCCAGAAACTCCATCTGCTCATCTGGGGTCTACTCTTTGTGCAAACACTTGTCTTGTCGGCAAACTTAGTACATTAACCCTTATTCCTTTTTTCTGTAGAAAGAATGGCATGATATTGAAAGATAACCCTTGGAATTTTGTGCAATAGAATTTAATTTCATTACAAACTGTTGTGATATTTCAAAAAATGGATAAATGTTCATTCATGTGGCAACTTGCATGGGAAGTTCAAAACAAGTGTCATACACTTGGCATGCTACGCTTCTCAAATTTCCTTTGCCTTTTCGTTCCTCTTCAGATTCCTTTTCTTTCCTCCTTAAACTTTTGTAGTCTACTTTCTTTGTTCCCCTCTTTTAAATAGCTGGGTTTGTAATTTAATATTTTGTCGATTCCTGTATCCTCTAAATAAATTAAAGATGGGCTTGTTTAATCCTGGGGAAACATTTCACATTGCTGAAATAGTTTCTTAGGACAGTGCCCAGCACGACTCAAACCAATTCGTGTATCTACTTACAATTATTGAAATTCTTGCTCTCAATTTCCTACACAAACACACCACGCTCGAGACAAGTAACAACCACAAGCGCTGTTTATAGAGCTCCATCATAACCCACAAAACACTGTTTGTATAGAGGTTCATCGTTGTCTAAAGAACTAATTTAGAAGAGGATTAAGAACTATACAACATCATGTTCTAGGAGGATAAAGTTCCCATAGAGCCACTGTCGTGTCTTCAGATGCAGAGGCCAATAATTTATTGTCAGCAGAGAATGAAACAGTGTTGCACTGCAAAACATATTGTGCAGGAATGTCATAGAGAAAATACGTGGATATATCCAGGAATCCAAGAGAGTGAGAGACAAAAAATGGAATGAAGTCAGTTTGATAATTGTTTTAAGGAGAAAAACACCTCAACAGAAAGAAAAGGGGATTGCATACCGTGGCATTATGATATTTCAAAATAGCCAAAGGTTTTCCTTTGCGATAATTGTAAATCCTAACCCTGACAATGAAAGATAAGATCAGCTAATGTTAAAGTGATACTTAGAACATGACCTACATATTTAAACACAATGCTTGAACTCACATAGCAACAATTACTAGAGTTTAACAACCAGCTATCTCAAAGGAATTGATGAACTGCATCAAATACAAGATCAAATATGTGAATTTTGAACTTTGAAAAGATATGTGATGTTTCCAGGAGAGTACATCTAATATTTAACAGTGTCTGACCTTATAAACAAGATCACAATGTAAACACTAGATTCATGTTTCCTTCTGCATTAACGTTAATAGAATGATCATATCATGTTCTTTCATCGACAGAATACCATACACATATGCTTATAATAAATGTTTCTTTCATTGACAGAAGGGCCTGCAACAACACCCTAACCAGCCACAATGTACATGAATTGACAGTTTGAAAGTCTCTGAGATCCCTACCGGTGATCCCAACCAGCAGTTGCAGCAATTTTCCCGTCTGGCCGGATTGAGGTTCCAGCTATTCCAGGTCTCTCCAAAACAATTTCTTTTCTGATCAAACAAGAACCCTAAAAAGTAGAAAAATTACATTCAGCAGATAATAAACCTGCAAATACAAAAGAAAGCTTTGTACAAATGAAGCCACCATTTGCAAGGTCCATAACTAATAACTACTGCAGCTGCTGCAAACTGCAGAAATATGTTTACTAAGTGTGGACGATATTTTTCCTTGGGTTGATAGTATATGCTGCAACAGGAAAACTACAAATATTCACAGATCTAACACAATATCACAAAGGGTGACCAGCTCCAGACAATTGACCAACTTATCAATGCATGTGGATAATGAGGTTCAAACTCAGAACCAAATTGTCCTCGCGGCATTAAGGCATGCACATTCGAAAATCAGTTTCAAATAAGACACTTAGTAACATTTTCTTGCTATAAGAGAAGAGTTTATGTGAAAAATACATGCACATCAACAGCACCATCCAACAATAGCATATCTTACAACTAGAGAAAAAGTTGGAGTTACCATAGAATGGTCCAATGCAAACATCAAAATTTTCTCATCAGCGGCTCCAGAGAGACCACCTTTGCATGATCCATCTATGCATAAGCTTAAAACTGCATAGAGAAGACAACATGTCTTTCATGCCTGCTTTAAGAACAAAAACAGAACTAGAAAAGGTGTATTATAAAGCACTTTATGCATGGTAGAATGATATGCCTGGTTCTGAATGGAACTTGACTGAAGTCAAGGGGACACCCGGATTACGCAAATCCCACCAAGCAATGGATCCATCCTCGTAACTGTAGGGATATGTAATCTAGTTTGGTAAGTCAAGCATTTTGATGAAATACATGTATATCATCTTTTAACAGAAATTCAACAGGAGAAAGAATCTACTTATATCAGGTCTCTACTCCGTCAAGAGACGAAAAGAATAGCATGATCACACTCTTTTATGTAATGAATCATCATTTTCCAAGCATTGTACAGTAATCTTACTCTTGAAAATTTGAATTATCCTGCTGTCAAGTACTGAAGATCCTTGTATCATTTTCTCATTCAAATTCACAATTCTTTGATAACAGTGATAATTATATGTACGTGATTTTATACAGTGAATCCATTGAATATACAGACTTCTTAACATTGGTGTCACCACATTACTACCAATGTGGTGTTAGACGCCCTAAGACAGGATACAAGTGTTAGGGAAGGGGACCGGTCTTGTAGAACCTGGTTGGCCACATTGGGAAAGTTGTCCAAAAAGGGTTTGCGCGCGAAACCTAGAAGCTACTGATTCCTCTGGCATTTTCGTCAATCCCACCTGATAGGGAAGCATTTCTTATTTCAGACACCATGAATGGCTCCCTTGAGAAGAGCGACATTCCTTGCTATTCGTATATCAATTTCAGCTCCCCCCCCCCCCCCCTACCCCCACCAAAAAAAAAAAGAAAAAGAGAAAGAAATTCTATATATAGCAGAAAGCAAAATTAAGGAGCAAAGAGTGAATATAAATTTCAGGAAAGCAGATTGCTTTCTGGCTATTTGGGTCCAATGCACATGATATTCCAATTGGACAGTTAGTATGGAATACATTTTCTCGATAATGAATGTTCTAAAGTGCAGTTGTAAATGCTAGTCAAAACTGGAGTGAGATGAGTGGCTTAGGAAATTGAGTTGGAATGCAACAACGCATTTGGCTGAGAGTGGAAAGAGGCTGTATGAGGGTTTAGAAACAAACCATAAAAATAATGAAGTTGTGATCAGTCAGCTAGAAGTAGATAGAGTATCCTTCAATATTCCATCTTGAAATCGCTAGATTCTCAACAAAAGTAGATAGAGTATCCTTCACATTGCAGGGCCTGTTAAATCAACATGTGTGCCTTAGGAGTTAGGATCATTTCACATCTGAATAATCAAAGAATGATTGTAGCTTTTACCATAAACGCATTTCAAATGCTCCACTATAGTTCAGAAATCTTTTCTGAAGTCATAGGGAAGTAAGCATTCAGGGAATTTTGACAATGTTCGAAAAGCTACTTCGAACATTGTCAAAATTCCCTGACGGCTCCAGATTTCCGAGGACATGGCTCTTGATAAGAACGTGTGGAGGTCGAGCATTAGGGTTGTAGGCTAGGGGGTAGTCAAGAATTTTTCCCTCTTTGTACCGGGTAGTCTGATAGAGTTTTGTCTAGGTCTATTAGCGGTCTATGCTTTGTCCACATTATTTTGTTATTTTGCATAGTATTGTGTTATTGCCCTATACTTATTTGTTGTCTCTTACGATGTTGTTATTACCTTTCTGGCTTCTTTTGCTGTGACAGACCTCTTCTTTTGTCTCTTTTCTGACATTATTGTCTCTTCTATAGAGTCGAGGGTCTCCTAGAAACAGCCTCTCTACCCTTTCGGGGTAGGGGTAAGGTCTGCGTAAATTCTACCCTCCCCAGACCCCACTATTGGGATTTTACTGGGTATGTTGTTGTTGTTGTTTGAAAAGCTACTTCATATAGGTACAAAAAAGCAAATACAAGTATACAGGGAAAGACGAACATATGAGTATGAATGTAGATACAAGTAGACAATACTATGTAAACAAGGTTATTACTGGAGATATGAGAACAAACCCTGCCATGATACTTAGGAGCCCCTGAGATTCAGAAGGTAAAAATGCTTGAACCGCCATGCACATTCCTGAGGGTACTTACTTTATAAGCAAATGTAAATGGATATTTTAAATAAAAACTGAAAGGCGAAAAGGCAGTAACTATCCAGAGGGAGAGATAGAGAAACCCAAGCAGATACCAAAGTATGTAAAACAAGCTAGAGGAAGAGAATCATAAAGTACCTAAATAAGCAAAATACAGTAAACTCTCAATTTGGGTAGTATAACATTGCATCTTAAAAATGATTCCTCCTACCAATCCTCTACCCTTCTTATCCCCAGGTCTTGGAACTGGTAGTTTGGGAATTCCAATTTGTGGAATGCACAAGAACCTTTCGTTCTTTCTGTAGAAAATCACAAGAAGTTGTGCAATTTGTAGTCTAAGTTGTCCAAGCACCAAGCTGGATTTCAGACACTTCAATTTCCCTTTTGAAAAAAGTTCCATTCTAAAATACCCATTGAAGGTGCTCCAAAAGCTACTGAAAGAGAACTTGGAAGCTTTAGATGCATTTCGTATTGTTTAACCACTAATATTATACGGCTCTTCTCAACAATCATGCCAATTGGAGCTCTTTAGTGATAACTGTATGCTTCCAAGCAGTAATAACCAAATTTCTATTATATAATTGCCAAGCCTAGGAAGTCTCTCAGAATGTATATTGCTCCTAATGAAATTAGTAATATTGATATTGCTATCCCTTCAAGCTCCTACATTGATTAAGATCACAAATATCTAATGACATCTAAGTAAAGATACGAGTCTTGACACGAAGGTGTCCCACCTCAGGGACCTAATATTTTCTAGTACCTTCTCACCATCATTTTAGATCCACCAGCATCCAGAGATACCACAAGATGGAGAGGCAGTAAATAAATCTCATAAAATCTTGAAGTTCAATATACCTTCTAAGAAGTAAACTATTTCGAACTTATCCAGAACACAATAAGATCTCAGAAAACTAGTTTTCAAAAGTAGCTTACGAAAATAGTTGACAAAAAAAAAAACTAACCTCTTTGGTTCGGAGTCTGATTTGAGGGGCTGCCAGAGCTATGAGGCAGCTGTGCAATTCTTTCTGCAGTATTGACATCCCAAATCTCAACCTTTGCAAATGGATTGGTTAGTGTTCAGTAAATTGCATAAAACAAACTCAAAAGAAAAGAATAAAGTATCAGAAATAACCATCAACCAACCACAGAAGCTTGTTCTCCTGCTATAGCAACATATTTTGGTCCTTCAATGAGCTCCTTACCTGAGAATTTCAATATGTTAAACAATCTTATCACCCCAAACATTGTTTAAAGCCATGCAGACAACCAACCAGATTCAGGTAAACAAAGGAGCATACTTTGGTTGAGAACCACATCAATATATAGGAAGGGAATAGCATTGAAGATTTCAAGCAACAATAAGCACAAGTGTAAACAACACTCATCATCGGGTCATTATATACAACAAAAACCACAACAAGCTGATTATCTTGAGTATATTGATTCCATTCCTTGATATTGTCTTGATCGTATTTATAAGATGTTGAGACTTAACAGTATGGCACCGTAATCTGACCGCAGATGTACTAGCTACCAGAAGGCCTTTGTCAAAGCTTCACGTGAAAGACCTTTGACTAAAAGCATACTTGATGGAAGTTCTGTCATTAAAGGGAATGTTGGACAATTGAAGTGTTAGGGAAGCTTTCTGCTGACCTACTCACACCGTGGTGCCTATAGATGTTAACAAATTTGATTTCAAATTGGACGAGATCTTATAAAAAACATTTGAGGATCTTTTTATCTTTTATAGAGAAATGACAGTGAAATTAGCATGTTGTACAGAAAGAAGTATTAGTCTATTCCTCAAGTACAAGACACATGGCTTTCAAAATTGACTTTGAACTTTCTCTAATAACATGTAAATCATACCCAAAATCTTAAGGACAAGACTTCTGAGGCAAAGATGAACAATTTCTGCAACATTCATTAAGGCTGTATTCATTTTTTTTTCAGAGTTCTCATTTTTTAAGCTCAGACATTTTAGAATTGGATGCGGGTAGACTTTAAAATGAACATAAAATCAAAAACACTTGCCATGGTTCTGATTTTTTTTATATATTTAAAAAAGAACCAATATTGAGAGAATATCTAAGCTGCGCGGACTCTTCGATTTTGGTGCCGTCCCCGTCCCGATACGAGACGGGGACGGGAGCGGGAGCACGATACGTCCCGGATACGGTCAACTGACTTCGGACACTTTGACCGGAGTCCATCGACAAATTTGGGAGAAACATTGAGATTTTGATTTCTCAAAATAAAAAATAAAACAAATTTAGGAGAATAACAGAAAAATGTCCATCTTGGAGAATGAAAGATTGAATTCTACAATATGCATGTAAGTTTTTCACAGAATATCTCTCAATATTTACAATATTTTTATGGTTTTATTTTTTATTAGCTGAATCCCCGCACCCGTATCCATATCCGGATCCGCACCCCCGAATCTTAATTTAGATTTTGTCGAATCCGATACTCGGATCCGTCCCCGTATCGGATACCCGCACCCGAGTCCGAGCAACTTAGGAGAATATAGAAGTCAATTAAATACATCATTTAGATTTTAGCTGACCAATATTTCAAAATCTGCCATAATTTAGGTGCGTGTATTCGAACTCACCTCATTCAAATATCAGAAGTGATAGAGAGAGCTTGATTAAAAAATGAACTGCAAAGTGAAGAAAAGGCAAGCAAGAGACAGAAAACCTTTGAATTTGGTGGAATCAGTGGGTTGATCTCCTTGTTCTTCTCTTTGCATGCCATCAACAATTTCGTTGACCTCCAGATCATCAATCTTCATTGCCTCACTTGGTGACTTTGCAATCGATAATTTGCAGAAATGATAAGAGTTTGTCTTTATTGTAAGTAATGGTGTCCTGTTGAAAGCACAAAGTGTATTCCTAATCATAAGGTAAACGGAGATTGAACACCACCACAGGGTAACAATAGTCAAACTAACATGACAGCAAATAGCAAGGCAACTAGCAAAAGAAAGCAAATGAATGAGTATTGAAAAGATGATGTTGCAAATATCTATCCAGCATAGTTGATAAACAATATCCACGGCACCTAGAAGCCAATTCCTTAAAATGGAATTCTAATATGATTTTACAGTCGTCATGAATTGAGTTAGACATCACCAATATAACATTGCATCCATATTTCTGAAAAAGATTTTGTTTTTGTTGATACAGATTTGGCTGAAAAAGATTTTTAAGCAACAATATGATATGCATGACTTGTGCAATACGAAGGCCTAGGAAACTTCGAAACCTGCAGCACTAGCCACATTCAAGTCTAACTTCCCAAATACAAAATATTGGACTAAAAGACAAAGATTAAAAATAAAAATAAAAGAAGAACTGCGCCCCCCCCCCCCCCCCCCCAAAAAAAAAAAAGAGAAAAAAAACCCCAACAAAGACAAAAAAAACGAAGAAGAAATTGACCGTGTTTGCCTCACACAATATATAGGGCAGCCCGGTGCACTAAGCTCCCATTATGCGCAGGGTTCGGGGAAGGGCTGGACCACAAGGGTCTATTGTACGCATCCTTACCCTGCATTTCTGCAAGAGGTTGTTCCACGGCTCAAACCTGTGACCTCCTGGTCACATGGCAGCAACTTTACCAGTTACGCCAAGGCTCCCCTTCAATATATAGAACAACAAATCTCTTGTTCTTCAATTAGACTTTTCATAATAAGCATAGTCAAGTAGTTGTCAAAGTTTGGGAGTTTCTGCATTTGTCCTTGCATTTCCTGCTAATTGATTTTGATTAAAACTGGTGCATTGGGAATACCCTTTCTGTTGATACCCTGAGATATTACAAGTCCATTTATTACTATAGAACCTTCAGGTTGCAAAGACTGTTAGATGGTTTTGTACACAAAGTTCAACAAAAAAAATTGGTATGGAGTGGTACCGCCCGAGCTTCCCCATGCTCAGCCCCAAGGGAGAGAACGTCTTAAACTCTCTAGAAAGGGGGCATAATGCGTTCAGTTTCTTAGAAGTGATGATGGTTAAAAGGCTGTGATTAACTTTGAACCAAGAATGCAGGGCAACACAATAAGCTATCTTTCATAATCACACGAAATAACTGTTTCATGTAAACATTCCACAGAACCCCATCACACGCTATGTAAGAAACAATGAATAAAGATGCAACTAATGAGACTCTATGTAAAGTATCCAGTAGTAACGAAATCCGAGAAGACATCTTAATTTATGTATAATTTAAAATATGTAAACCTGAATACCTGGACAAACCTCCTCCTCCAAAATCCCAACATTTAACAGTACCATCTCTGCCCTGGCTGCGGAAATAGAAAAGTCAAATGTTCAATCAAATTAACCCACCTATCCAGAATAGGAGAGGACTAACACATCCTCCATTCAAATTCAAAGGCATTGTGACAATATTACTGACTGAAATATCAAACAAATTAACAACGATTAGAAAGAGAGAGAGACGACACACCTGATAACTTTATTATCCCCAAGAACAGGACTTGCAGCAACACAAATAATCCCATGTGCTGCACTATGAACCCTGCAGCTAACAGTAATCAACTATTAAAACCCAATTGTGGTATGATTCCAAGCAGACATTTAGAGTACTATGAGTACACCTCAATCCCAAACTAGTTGGTTAGAAAAAAGTTCCAAGCACAACCACAGCTAAGCCTCAGTCCTAAACTAGGCCACAGTCTCAATACAATAACAACTAGGCCATAGTCTCAAACTAGTTAGGATTGCATAAAATTCATAATATAACAGTTACTACGCCTCAATCCGAATCAATCAGGGTGGCAAAGAAACAATTCAGAATACATAATGAAACCCAGGAGCCCGTCAAAACATTATACCGTCCCATTTTATGCCTGAGTGTTTGACTTAGCACGAAGTTTAAGAAAAAATGACTTTTGAAAACAAGCCATAGATTTTTGTGTTAACAAAAAGTGTGTCACATAACATGGAATAGAGGAATTATAAACTATTACCAAGCCGAAGAAACTGTACGATACTGTACGGTATTCCAAATCCGCAATTCTCCATCAGTTGACCTGAAATGTAAACCGGAGTGTGTAACTAATCAGTTTTGACTTACGATCAATGTAAAAGGACTTAATAAATAACTCGAAAAATTCATACCCAGAAAATAATATGCTGTTAGAAGGATGAAAACAAATGTCAGCAACAGAAGCGCGGTGACCTCGTAGCACTGACACCGGGTCCGGCGCTGGTCTTTTGCTCATGCCTTGTTCTGCCATTGAAGCATTTTGTCAAATAGTTGGCATAATACTTAAAACTATTTGCAATATCATCTTAAAAAATCTGAATTAAAAGTTCGTGGATTAATATCGTGTTTTGGTTGATTACATCTTCCTTCGTGAAAAGAGAAAACTCCTATCTTCTAGTTCTAATACTCTTGTGTAACTATTTTGAAGTTTGATGAGCTATGTGTTTACCCACAAATTCGAGTGTGGTTTTTCGGATTCCAGTAACAATTAAACTTATATTGTGGTTTTAAGGATATGTGATTCAATCCAATATCAAATGATAAACAAGGAATTAAATAGATAAATTAGAGAATAAAATAAATCAAACGAGTATGCTAGCCAAATTTTGTTAGTCTCGAGGTGTGATAATAGGAATAGCAAATGATAGAGGTGTGATAATACGAATAGCAAATGATAGAGCAACTCTGACCAACACTAAGCTAAATAGGAAGAAAGTAATGAATGTATATCTTCTTATGAGTGAACAATGATGGCTACAAATGAATGGAATCCCTCCTTATATAATAGAGGAGTTCTAAACAAGGTACACTTCTAATTATAGTAGGAAATCATATTTGACAACTAATTAACCGTCGAAGATCAATCCATTCCGAAATTCACGCCACGATCTTCGATCTGTTGCGGATATCTCGCCCTTTCCGTTACCGAACTATACCGGCATCATCGAAGTATGCCCTCTTGTGACCTCGGTTAGTGATGTCGACCTCGATCTTGGAAAGAAACTCCGACCCCGGACTCGACGTCCTGGCCTTTCGATGTGGTATCTCTTTTTTGATCAAAGGATGAAATCGGGTAGCTCCAATTTCTACCGTATACAGATAGTCCCCTCGTTTCTTAGAGTAAAATGATAAGAAACGACTTGAGCCTCGATTTTCTGGAGACCCCGATAGTGACGTCATCCCCGTGAAGTAAGCGGTAGAGGTGACCGAAACGTCCCGCCCGTACGGTTCTCCAAATTATTAATGTATGTCAGTGGGTGGTCGGCCACTAGCGCCACCGAACCGTCGCCGTGAATCTATAAATACAGGTTCTTTATTTGAATCAAAACTTTACTTCCACCTTCACCAAGTTTTCTAAGTCTTTTCCTCTCTCCATCTCTTCTCTTTCACCACCCGTTGAGTCAATTTTGTTAGTACCAAAACACCAAATTTCACCTCTTTCCGCTTCCTTCTATCTGAATCAATGGCGAAAACCTCCAAGACCGTCCCACAAAAGGAGAAGGCTTCTTCCTCTTCTTCCCGGTCGGTCGGTGATAAAACGTCGGTGGAATCGCTCCCTCACGAGTACGTTCCCGGCCCTTGTGTCTTAAAAACCGACTTCAAAGTCGAGAACCCTCTGTCGGTCCCTAGCCGATATGAACACGTGTCGAGATATATCTGCTCGATAACGGCGAGACATCTCGAGGTTGTGAAGAAAGACTGTAACTGGGGGGCCGAGGTCGTGATTAAAACTCCCGCTCCTCAAGAGAGCAATACCACCTATGTGGAGGGTTTCCTAAGTGTCTACACTTACTCCTTCACACTGGGTCCTATCGACCCAGTCATCATCGATTTTTGCAAGAGGTATCAGGTCACCTTCGGCCAGGTTCACCCCTCATTCTGGCGTATAATGATCATGCTCCGCTTCTTTTCCAGCAAAGCCAAGGTGTTGGAATTCACTCTCAGCCATCTCATACGGTTGTATCGACCTCGACTTTTTCGAGGACTAATCAAGCTCCAACGCTGATCAACGAAGTCCTTTTTCGCGAGTATCGATGAGGGCAAGGACCGAGGTTGGATGAGCCGACTCGTGAGGGTAAGGACCTGCGGCCTCATCCCAGAGAAGAAATTTCCGTTCACCGAGAAGTGGAACCCCGATCGTAAGTAACGTATTACCCATTAGTCTTTGTACTCCATTTTTTGCTTTATGTAATGCCTTCGTCTATTATGCAGCGATTGTTCGGATGCCTCACGCGGTCCCCGACCTCGAAGACTGGGTTCGAAAGTTGGCCTCGACTTCCTCCCATGTCGAGCGCTGCTGGCGTGAATTGGCAAGGGGCAGATGGGAAGCCAAGAATCATGGTAAGTTTATCCTGTAAGATTTTGATGCCTTTTTCTGTAACATTTCTCTTTATTTATACTTGACCCTCTTTTATGCAGGCCTAGGAGATGTTACTGAAATGAGGCCGGCCCCGCCTAGGGAAGAGGCCAAGTCCCCGATTCCGAAGTCGGGAAAAAATAACAATAGGAAGAGGGTCTCGGAGTCCAAGGACCCCCAACCTAAAAGGGCTCCAATTCGAAGATGCAGGAGAAATCTCATCCCTGTGACTATAGAGTTAGTCCACCAGCTGGGGGAAGAAGAAGAGGAAGATGAGGGCGATGATTTGGCGCTGGTGGTTCGAGCAAGGAAGCCGGTCGAGACCCGACTTCGTGATGAGGAGGACTCGAAGAAAGATTCAGTCAAAGCCCCCGAATCTCTGAGGTTGAGGTTATCCTTCGGCCATCAACGAATATAGCGAAGGGGGCCGATTCTAGGACCCCTAGGGCTGAACAGGGCGCCCGAGTGATTTGCTCGGGGTTGTGACAGTAGGTCATTCTCCATCTCCACCGACCTTTTCTAAGGAAGCTATAAGGGACGCTCGGATTCTACAGACCCCTAACATTGGCGGAGTACCCAGTGAAGAGGATCCCTTCCGGGATTGTTTTACCGGGGTCGATGATGTCGTTGATCTCAATGATTCGTCCATCCTCTTTGAAGAGGCCCAACGTCTCCTATCTCGGGTAAGCATTAATTGTCGCGATCCCTTTCCTTACTCTTCTTTCTTTAAGTCTGACTTGCATTTTCCTTTTTGTATAGGCCTTTGCCAAGTCTCGAGGCGACCTGAGTCAGTGCGAAACCGAGCTCCAGAAAGTCTCGGAGGAAAGGAACGCTCTAAAGCTTCTCTGTGGCCAAAAGGACGTAGCTCTAAAGGACCTTCGAGCGGATTTGGCCAAGGCTCGTAATGAAGAGGCCGAGCTAGACGAGCAAGTAACTATTGTGAGCACGTGATTTTTGCCCAATCCAAAATACTCCTATAAATCACAAAATAGATTTTTTGTAGTTTATTTTCATTTTAAGAATTTTTAGGACTATTTATTTAATTATATGCATTTTAGGTACATTTTTGCATACATTAAAAGCATAGAACATACCCAAAAAATTATATTCGAGTTTCATGCATTGCATTCTTAGTTTGGTAGTTGCATTTTAGTGTAATTGTTAATTAATCGCATCAACGAAACAAAATCAAAAAATATATACATAATATTGTTCCATTTTTTAGTTTTAGTTTTAGTATTTTTCTAAAATCAATTAATTATTTTAGTATTAGGATCAACTGATTAAGTCAATTTCATATTAGGTCTTGTTTAGGATTTAATTTAGGGTCAATTAAATTTATTAGTATTAATTAATATTAGTAGTAATTAGTTTAAAATTAAGTCAAGTAATGAGAAGGGGAAATTTGGTCTTAAAGATCGAATTTGGGCTCTAGAAATTGCTGAGCCCAAATCTATTTCTTCTCAAACTGACCAGCCCTTGGCCCAACCCTTCTACCCGGTCCAGCCCCAACCCTTACCCAAATGACGCCGTTTCTTGGGTTTTGATCCCAATCGTTGATCTTCCTTGATCAAACGGCTGGGAACTCAACGTCCCTATCCTATAAAACTGTCCTAATCCCCCCCCCCCCCCATACCCCTAGAGAGCCCTTCATCCCCCCTAATCTGTAAACCCTAGCCGCCCTCCTTTCCTCTCACCCTTCACAAGACCAAACTCTAGCCGCCCCCCTAACCCTGCCATAGTCCGCCGCCGGAAATCGCCCCACGGGGCGGCGACACCCCAAACCGCCCCAAATTCTCACCACACAACCACCATTTCCCCCTCTTTTCAAACCCATAAACAGTTTCCTCTAAATCACCACCCAAACTCGCCAATTCCAGATCTGAAACCAAACTCTAATTCACCCAAATCCCTCCCAAACCCACTCAAATCCACACCTCATAACCTCCACACCCCCCTAAACTCAAATCCCTTAGTGGTCGCTCCAAATTACCCCCAAAGACCCCGAAAATCCAGATCTATAAATAGCTAGAGGGGTCACCTATGCTTGGGCCGTCTCATGAGTCTTTTCTTTCAAGGAGATCCGGTCAAAACCCATGCAAGGTCGGATCCCTTGAAGGAAAAGACCTTTGAATGGTCAATCGGAGCGGAGCAGGTTGTCAAATTACCATCATATTTTCTTCCACTCAAAGGGGTAACATGACCACTGTCCCTTCCATTTTCTTCTCTTTAGGTCGAGTCAGTAATGTTTTTTTAGTTAGTTTGCTTGTTTTGTTTGTAATCGTGTCCAACCAGTTCTGTTGTTAGGTTTTTATTTTGGCTTAGTTCATGTTTAAATAGTTTAAATCTTAAAAAAGTTTAGTTTATTATTGTAGTTTTAGGTGCCTTTGCTGTTTTGATTTGTTAGTATGCTTAAATTGATTAATTAGTTTAACTTTTAAATAGTTTGGTTTAATTAATGCCTAATTAGCCTAGGTTTAATTTTATTTCAGTCATCTTGTGTTATCATCATCCAAACTGTTAGTCTGAAAAGCATTGTGGAGTTTCATTATGAATTTGGTTCATTTTAGAGGTTAGGTTTGTCTTAAGTTTTCAGATGTTCACATTTTAGCTTTGTCGTTTGCTGTTTGATTCGTCTATTGGTATTTGCCTGTTTGTTTCTGTTTGCCACAGTTTGTAAGTCATTAAGAATTTGTAGGGGTTAATTGAACAAAAGCAAAACTTAAGGAGTTTGTTTGAAGGGTGGGTAAATTTAAATAGGGTAAAGACCCTGCTGGAAGGTTCTAGAATAGGGGGCAGCTGGCCTCATTTGGTTAGCACAAAAATGCTTAAGCCAATGAGGGACAGCCAGTTGTCCAAGTTGTTAAAAGATGCCTTGTGGCTGAAGGGAATAATTCCTTGATTCCTTTTCAGCACATGACATCTTGAATGCCTATAAATATAGTCTCTCTTCACTCATTTTTGGACTCAGAGATTTTTCCACCCTTAAAAAACTCCAAAAAGTTTGACTGTTAGTAGCTGCTTCTATTTTCTTTCAATTTTCAAAAAAAAAAAACTTAGAACTTTCTTTGGGATTTTCTGATTTT